AGTGTGTATAGCTAATAAAATTGCTATACAAGAAAGTAACTCTTAGAAACGCAAGATTGACAGACTGATCTGTATCAAGTGTTATGAACTCTGATCAAATTCACATGCCTCTTTTGAACAGAAATGAGAAACTATTGTTATATGGCATGAGCCAGATCGAAGTAATTGACTCACTGTGATTTTATCATAACATTATATATATTAATTATAAAAGTTGCAATAAACTATAATTAATCTACAATTATGTAAAGATTGTTAATATAATAACTGATAAACATTTGTTATAAAGGTCTTGTATTTAATATCTATTTGTGATTTTAAAAAAAATATATTTTTTTAAAATATATACTATATATATATATATAATTTATTATATTATAATTATTATATATATTTTATAAAAAATATTTTTAATTTATTTAATAAATCTTTAAATTGAATAAATTAATAAATAATTATAATAAGAAGTCATTTAAAAATTAAAAATAAAAATTTAAATTATAGTATATTAAAATTAATAAAATAAAAGAATTTAATAATATTTATTTATTATAAAATAAAGAAGTATACAGAGAGACCTCCCTAAATGCACACTCTATAAATGCACTTACTATATTTTCTCTCTCTAAATGCATGGTCAAGCTTGGTCCTAAGTACATAGAACTCTTAATAAAATTACCTCCATAAATGCACACCCTCTATAAATGCACATTTTTCAAAAATTTTCCTATGGTCCCGAGGGGTGTGCATTTAGAGAGGGTTCACTGTAGTAATTAAAACAAAATTGATTTATTTTATTGAAAATTAAGAAAATTTTAAAAATTTTTTAATCAATTGAAAAAAACAATTGTTATATTTATATATTTTTGAATTATAAGAAAAATAATATAAATAATAGTTTAAATTAAGAATTCTAATGATTCTTTTTGATTCTTATATAATTTTATATGATTTTGTTTAATTTCAATTTTCAGAACTATAGTTTAGATATATTGGTTTTACTATATTTATTGAATTTGTTTAATTATTCATATTAGTTATACTTGATAAAAATGGTATATTTATATGATTTACTATAATTATATAATTTATTTTATATATTATATATAATTAATATATTTATTATATTACAGTCAGACCTCTCTAAATGCAACCTTTTTAAATGCAGTATTTCTCTAAATACATAACTATGATCTGGTCCTATAATAGGACCTATAGATAAATGCATGTTCTTTATTCTGCAATTGCATGTTATTTGCTTGACCCACCTATAATGATTTCTTCCATAGATGCAAGCACGTGATAATAAATAATTTTTTTTTTTTTTGTGATAATAAATAATTAAATTTCTAATAGATTTATTTACAGAGGCAACAAATTTTTTCTTTAAGCGTTGAGTTTTTTTTCCTATTTTCGGTTACATGAATGCATCCCCTTGCGTCACCCTTGCGCCACTCGTACAGTGTCCCTACCACATTGGTACAGATATGTACATGGTGCGTGTAGTGAATTTTCGAATTTTTATATATTTGATAGAAATTTACGAATTTGCAGATCACATATTATAAATTACAATTACTGTATATTGGATAATTATTTTCGAAGGCATTTTTGCACCTTGGAATTATACTGTAGTTCTGAAATTTATTGTATACATATTATTAAAAAATTATATATAAAAAATTTTCCGCTTTTTAAAAGGATAAGTAGACTAATAAGGTAAGACTATAAGGAGCAAGTAAAATAAAAGTAAGGATGAGCAGCAGCTTTTCGGGCCCAAAACTTTCTAATTGGATAACTGGATTTATGAAATTACAGTATAGCCAGAAATTTCACTGTTCGAGTGACGCAAGGGGATGCATTTCATGTAACTGAAAATAGGAAAAAAAACTGCTTATAAATATTTTCTAAAAACATGTAATACGTAATGTATACTTTAAATAAATGATTTATTTCATATTTACAGTAACATTGTTAGACTTATATTAATTTATTTTTGCACTTATATTTATCCCGACAAAAATCCAATTTTTAAAACAAAAAAAAACTTGAATAGATCATAAAAGAAATTTTGCTCGAAGAAAATTTGAATGTTCGTAAATATTCCTCTTTTGTTATAAGTTTTATGTCATATTTTATTCAATAAACTGATTTTTTTTTATTTTTTTTTAAACAATCCTCTTCAATGCAAATAGTATTAAAAAAAAAATGGCAGATTCTGATTATAACAGTAGGACTCATTCGTCTTTGCTGATTTGTATACTTATTACAATACAACTTGACCGATTTAAATGTTAGGCAGTATAGAAGTCTCGTGGTATATGCTAATGGACTATCTTGTGAGTGATTTTAGTTTTAGTTAAACTTTATTTTATTATTTTATTTTGTAGATGTCCAAAAGTTGAATCAGACAAAAAAGATATGCGTTAAAGACAAGTATCACATGGTAAAGCATTTATTAAACATCATTTATTTATCTTTTTTTGTTTTTTCATGGTTTTGAAATTTGGTTTATAATTTTTGGGATGCGGATTATATACTGTATGTATTTAAATAATAGGAATTTTATCCATCATTAATATTGGTCATTGCTGGCAGAGTTTCTTTATAACCGATTATCCAACATCGACACCTTTTCCCACAAGTCATTTTCGATTTATTACACATTCAATCATTATATTTTACATTTCTAAAATTAGCAAAAGGATTCTAAAGCACGTATGTATAAACTTTCTTATCATAAAGTGCTTCTTATCATTCTGAAAATTAATTTCTTATTAATGAATTTTTGTTTGAAATTTTTAGACAAAAGACGAACCAATCTCACAAATTCATAATAGATGAAATGGCTTTTATTAAAGCAAGAGGATACAAACAGAGATAGTCACCATTTTGGATATGGGTCCCAAAAACTTAACCATTAGTATGGTTAGTTTAGATGGCCACAGAAAATTTGAGATTCGTGAAACAATCTTTTGTAAGAGTTGATATTGATTGAAGGTTATGAACGTAAGCATATGGTTCTGGATAAAGCTCAATAAAATAAGAATTCTGTGAATCATTTGTCTTGTATAATCAAAATTTTTTCTTGAATGAACTAATCAAAAAAATTGATATCGAAAGGTTGGAGGTGATTTGCGTCAATAACTGCCAATAACTTATTTAGGATTTAAATTCTTAATGAAGAAAATGAAACATATAAGGTGTCATGAAAACTTGGTTTTATCTAAAGTTGGAAGTAAAAAAACTTTCGAAAAACATTAATCCTGAATATATGAAAAGTATCAACGATCGACTTGGTATTCTTGCAAAAAATTGTAAACAATAAAGATAATGTCACTTTCAAGAGTATATCTTCAATTTATAAAAAATAGTTAAGTGAGCTAAACTAAAAAAAAAACTATAGGCAGAAGAACAAAATTTAATAACAAACTTGATAACGATGATGTGAATACAACCCATAGAACATAAAAAAAAATGTGAAAAGGGCAATGCAGTTGATGACTAAGCTAACAAGACTATATTATTTGAAAAATTAAAAGAGATTTTTGAGATCATATTGTCAAATCTGGATTATTACTTGTTAAATCGAATGTTATATAATTGAAAGCATATGATTGCGATGTTTATTTAAAATGTTCAAAAAACTAGATAAAACTTGTTATTCGCTTGATAACAAAATGTATAAATTTATTTCATAAACTATCATAGTTATAATAATAATGTCTTTTGAAAAACACAAAAGTAAAACTACTCTTAATAATAAACAAAGAAAGGATATCATTGCATATAAAGAAAAACATCCAAACATTAGCTATATTGATCTCGTTGAATAGGTGAAAAAGAATTACGAACTTGACATTCATCCAACTACTATTAGCCATTTAATAAAAAATAAAGAAGATATTGGAAATGATCCTCTTGCAAAAAGATATAGAACAGTTCAATATCCGAATCTTGAAAATACATTGTTAGAATGGATTTTGCAAAATCAAGAAAAAATTATATTAAGTGATGCAATTTTGATCGAAAAAGCAAAAAATTTTGCTCGAATGCTAGATATACCTAATGGTGACTTTAAATTTTCACATGGATGGTTATTTAAGTTCAAGAAAAAACATGGTTTAAGACAAATAACAAAACATGGAGAGGATACTTCTATAGATAATGCCATTATTACATCTGCTATTGTTAAATTGCAAGAAATATTAGAAGAATATGATCTAAAAGATATTTACAATATAGACGAAACTGGATTATTTTATCGGTATAATAAATTAATTATAATATTTATGTTAATTAATACTTATCTTTATTAATATTTTTTTAGTCTTGAACCAGATACTATACTTGCAACTATTCATCTTAAAGGAAAAAAAAAAGATAAAGAACAATTAACTTTAGCACTTTGTGCAAATGCTGATGGAACCAACAAAATACAATCATTTGTAATTGGAAAATTTTCAAATCCACGTTGTTTTAAAAAAATTAATCATAATGGACTTGGTGTTATATATGAGGCGAGTAGCAAAGCATGGATGACGACTATATTATTTCAAAAATGGCTCAAAGAATTTGATTTAAAAATGGCTGGTCGCAAAACAATTCTTTTAATTGATAATACAAGATGTCATTCATTTCTTAATTTAAATTTTCGTAACATAACTATTCATTATCTTCCTCCAAATACAACATCACGAATTCAGCCAATGGACGCCGGTGTTATTATGTCTTTTAAGTGTCATTATCGAAACTATTTTATAAAATAGTTACTTGATCAATATGAATCTGAAAAAAATGAAAAAATGAATATTCTTACCGCAATAAAATTTATTACTCGAGCATAGAGAGAGGTATCATCAGAGACAATATATAATTGTTTTAAGCATACAAAAATTATTCAAGATAATCAAGATGATAACTTATCTGATATTAATGATGATAATAGCTTAATGAAAGAATTATATGAAGATGTTGAAGCACTTCGCTTTTGAAATATGATGAATCTTAAAGAATATGTCGATTATCCAGAAGAAAAAAATACTTTTGAAACACTAAATGATCAAGAAATTTTGAATATTACTATTAATCAAGAACTCGAAAATAATGAAAGTGAAGAAGAAGAAAATGAAAGTATAGAAATGCGTCAAATTACTCATCAAGAAACATTAAATGCTGTTGAATTAATAGAACAATATCTAATACAACAAGACCTTAGTTATACAGATTTGTTAAAATATGATGAAACTTTATTG